ACAGTTTGTATGACCAAGTATTTCTGCTCCTCATAATCGTTGATGCTGTTTTAGCTGCTGCTCCACTTCCAAAGGCGAAATGTGGACTCCCAACAAACCTCATCTGTGACCTGACCTCTCGACCCTTCCCACCCCCCCCACCCCCCCCACCCCCCCTCCCCCCCTCCCCTCGCCCCCCTACCCCCCCCCCCCCCCCCCCCCCCCCCCCCCCCCCCCCCCCCCCCCCCCCCCCCCCCCCCCCCCCCCCCAAAAAAAGCAACGATGCCAAACTCCGTTCCGGGAAACGACCTTCTTTGTCCCGCCGAAGACCTCCAAAAAGGGTCTGAGGTTTAGGGTTTAGGGTTTAGGGTTTGAGGCTGTTCAAAAGCACCCATGTCCAGTTCTTCTTTTCCGGGGGGTATCCGCGTTTGTTAGCTTCAGGATGTAGGGTGTAGGGGTAATTAGTCTCATTATTTTTCAGGGCTCAGAAGAGGCTCCTGCGACCTGGAACCTTTGCAAACCGGTGTGACATGGACGGCCGCTCGAGAACTTGGAACTCCGTCACACTACGACAACGACGACCACTTCTACACTTACCTGCTAATTCTACTTGTTCTGCTACCTCTCGGCCGCGGCGACGACGACGACGACGACCACCACCACCACCACTATTACCATTACCAAAACCCAAAAACACTATCGTCCTTAAGAGTGATTCGAGGAACCCCAAAAGGGTCCCAACCTCAACCTCACGAAACCCCTCTATCACCGGCACATTTGGCCTCGTTGGCGACGTGCATGGCTGGATGGTCCTCCATGCTCCCAGGGACCGTTCCCTGTCGCGGCATGGTGGAGTTTGGGTCCCCCTTTTTGCGGGTTTAGGGTTTAGGGTTTAGGGTTTAGGGTTTAGGGTTTAGGGTTTAGGGTTTAGGGTTTAGGGTTTAGGGTTTAGGGTTTAGGGTTTAGGGTTTAGGGTCTGGGTTTAGGGTTTAGGGTTTAGGGTGTAGGGTTTAGGGTTTAGGGTTTAGGACTTAGGGTTTAGGGTGTCGGGTTTGGAGTTCAAAAGCAGCAGGGTGTCAAGAGGAAAGGTAGGAGGAATCCCAGACCCCTAACCTATACTCCCCTTAGAACCTTAGTAAAAAAAGTGTTTTTAATATCCTCTTGGGTTTTATATGAACAAAAATTCTAAAAATGATTCCCAAGGGGGATATGGTAACTCCAAGGCCTACACCCAAAACCACAACAGCCGATGCCCAGAAAAGCACGAACTAGAAACGCTTGAGGATTGCAAAGGGTTCTGGGGCTTAGGGGTTTAGGTTTGGGGTTCAGGGTTGAGGGTTGAGGGTTTGGGGGGTTATAAACCCTCGAACCGTTCGAACCTCTCAGAATGTCCTTGGATTAAGCTCTAAACGCCTAGTGTAACATACCCCTGAACCCTTAAGCCCTGGATCCTGAACCCTACACCCCTGGAGCCTGAAAACCCACCCTTCAACTCTTGAACTTGAAAACCGACCCTTAACTCCTGACACCCCAGAGGCCTGGAGGCCCCGAAGCCCCTGAGCCCTAACCCTTCTTAAACCCCTCAAGGACCACAAAGCACAAAACACCCAAGCCGCAAACCCGAAACTCTAAACCCCAAGGGCGCCAAGCCCGAAACCCGAAGCCCAAGGCCCTAAACCCTAAACACCCAAAGCCCTAAACCCTAAAACCCCGAACTCCAGAAGCCATAAAACCCTAAACCATACACCCTATAAACCCTAAGCCTGCCCCTGGCCTTGAAGCCCACACTCACGGAGCGCCACATCAGCACCCGCCCGCGTTTCGGCTGGTACCGCGCCCCTCGGGGTTTAGGGTTTCGGGTTTAAGGTTTAGGGTTTAGGGAAAATTTAATTAGGGTTTAGGGTAGGGCTTTAGGTTTTGGCTTTTGGTGATTGCGGCTTGGGTCTGGGGTCACTCAGGAAACCTGTTTTGGTTGCAGGAATAGACCATACTTCAAGAATATTTAGATTACACAGGGGTGCTTCTTATGGCTCGGAAAGTAGTCACAGTACAGACGCCTAAGCTGCGTTCCTTGATTAAGGGGGCACCGCGCTCGTCGGGTTGGGCAGTTCATGAGTTAAGGGTTTCAGGTTTGAAGTTGTCTTCGCAGGCTTTTAAGGCTTTAAGGCTTAAAGGCTTCTGGGTTTGTAGGGCAATTAAACCCTTAAACCCTAAACACATCCAATTAAGATACCACTGGGCTTCCTACCCTGAACCCCTAAACCCTAGACCCCTATCCCCTAGATCCCTAACCAACCCTAAACCCTAAAGGCCCTCAACCTGTAAACCCTAAACCCCAAAAGCCCTAAAAAAATCATAAAGGCCCTAGTTCTTCCTTTAAGGTTACAGTACTACAAGCTCAGTTCCCGAAGTTATGGTCCTTTGTCGGGTACCCCAAATAAGAGGGGTCGTCTCATAATAAGGACCCCAAAACGACCATATCATAGAGAAATCACCGTGTAGGGATGCACGAAGGGACCCCAAATTCGACCACTACCCATGTCGGCGTTGAAAAAAAAACCATAAATCTGAGGCACGAGCCCAGATTGGGGAACTCCGTGCAACCGCCGTGGAAGTCCTCCGGAACTCAAGGCAGTCATACTCGGACCACTAAGGATGTACCCCCTAAGAGGTTTCTATTAATGTGCTCCGAAGATGGCCCTTCTCTTTTCTTCGAGGCTCTTTAAAAGGGTCCCGAGCCCGAGGATGCAACCCTAAACCCTAAACCCTAAACCCTAAACCCTAAACCCTAAACCCTAAACCCAAAGAGCCCCTTATTATTCACTTCTTTCTTGTTCTCGCTCGAGGCCTCTGAGCGCGAACCAGTGAGTTGCGATGCCTTAGCAGGGCATTGAGCGGTTGGGTCCCCCATACCCCTTTCTAAGGTTCGCAAAAGGGAGATGTAAGGTACCTAATCCCCTCCTTCTCCACGGTTTAGGTTTTCTTTTGGGGGGGTTAGGGTTTATTTAAGGGTTTTTAGGGTTTTAAGGGTTTAGTGTTTCGGGGTAGAAAAGGCACTTCTTGGGATGAGGCTGCAAGAATTGCTCTCAGAGAAACCGCCGCTGCCCCTCAGCAACGACAAGTGTCCTCGTTGAGGTAAATCAGCGCCTGCACTACACCCAGAACCCCAGAACCCCAAAACCCGAGAACCCAAAAACCCTAGAACCCCACAACCCCAGAACCTTAGAACTCCAGAACCCTAGAACCCTCAAACCCTAGAACCCCACGACCCCAGAACCTTAGAACTCCAGAACCCTAGAACCCTAAAACCCTAGAACCCCACAACCCCAGAACCTTAGAACTCCAGAACCCTAGAACCCTCAAACCCTAGAACCCCACAACCCCAGAACCTTAGAACTCCAGAACCCTAGAACCCTAAAACCCTAGAACCCCACAACCCCAGAACCTTAGAACTCCTAAACCCTAGAACCCTAAAACCCTAAAACCCCACAACCCCAGAAAATTAGAACTCCAGAACCCTAGAACCCTAAAACCGCGGCCCCACAACCCCAGAACCTTAGAACTCCAGAACCGTAGACACCCTACACCCTAAACCCCAAACCCTAAACCCTAAACCCTAAACCCTAAACCCTAAACCTTACACTCAGGGTGTCATGCTCTTGCGGTTAGGAGTAGGGTTTTTTGGGCGCCCATGAAGTCCACACCCCGTGAGCCACACAAGGCTTGGGATTTCGGGGTTTAGGGTGTAGGGCTTAGGGTTGGTTTAGGGTTTAGGGTTCAGGGTTCAGGGTTCAGGGTTCAGGGTTCAGGGTTTAGGGTTTAGGGGTTAGGGTTTAGGGTTTAGGGTTTAGGGGTTAGGGTTGAGGGTGTACTCCAGCGTTTGGGGTGTAAGGGTTTATGCATGGGTTTAGGGCTTCAGGTTTAGGAGTTAGCGTTTAGGGTTGATGGGAGGGTTTAGGTTTTAGGGCTGGGGTATAGGGTTGGGGGTTGCGCCTAGACTGTATTACCTGGCCTAGGAGGGCTTAGGGTTTAGATGTTAACTACCTTAAGGACACTAAATATGGCCCTAGAACACCCCAGCCCGTCTAGCCACCCACCACCTTGCGCCTGAAAACCAAAAACACCCACCCTTATAGGGTTCTTAAGGGAAGGCAGGACCCTGCAAGCACAACACGCAGCAGTACTCGTGGCCGCGGCAGCCGTAGCCGAACGTGTACTGGCAGCTGCCCCATTCACCAAGCCTGGTGCGGCCGAAGACAACCAAGACGTCGCTGTCCAGAGCCCCTTCGAGCAAGTCGCCAGCTAGGTTGATACAGCGAGGGATGCTGACGCTCCCAGTCAGCGCAGCGACGAGGGCGACGCGCTGCCGCACAACACGGGCGACGTCGCAAAGTGGCTTGACCACCCTTGCGTTCCAACCGTCGAAGACGTAGACGCGCAGGCGTCCGGTTCCGACCACCCAGTAGCGGCATGCGACGTGCAAAGCTCTGATTTGAGGTAGGTGCTGTTCGTCCGCCTGCCTCGCTAAGGCTCCCTAAGCTTCCCTAAGGTTCCCTAGGTACCTATCCCCTTGAACCCCCTCCCTTAGGAACCCTATAACACCCCAAACCCCACACACACACACACACACACACCCAACAAAAAAAAACGAAGCTGCCATCCAAAGCCCCCAAAGCCAAAAACCCCTAGAGTCCCACACCAAACCCTAACCCAAAACCCTGGAAGCCAGAAAACTCACCAGTTCCTAGTACGGAATTCAGGGATTCGGGGCCTTACTTCCCGATGGCGAACCCTTCTGCAGACTTTTCTTCGGAACCATATTCCCCAATTCCCTGCGCCCTAAACCCTGAACCCCCAGAACCTAAACTGCCCCGAAACCCTAAACCCTAAATCCTAAATCCTAAACCCTAAAGCCTAAACCCTAAAGCCTAAACCCTAAATCCTATAAATCCTATAAATCCTATAAATCCTAAACCCTAAAGCCTAAACCCTAAACCCCAGATTCCCCGCGTGGGGCAGACCTGGCAGGCCCAGCCGCTGTCCACGTGCGCTTTGAACTGCGCGCCCTCGAAGTATTGCAGCAGCCGCCTTAGGGTTTGGGTTTGGGGTTTAGGGTCTAGGGTTTAGGGTTTAGGGTTAAGGGTTTGGGGTTTGGGGTTTAGGGTTTAGGGTTTAGGGTATGGGGTTTAGGGTTTAGGGTTTAGGGTTGAGGGTCTAGGGTTTAGGGTTTAGGGTTTTGGGGTTTGGGGTTTGGGGTGTAGGGTTTAGGGTTTAGGGTTTAGGGTTTAGGGTTTAGGGTTTAGGGTTTAGGGTTCAGGGTTTAGGGTTTAGGGTTTAGGGTTTAGGGGTTGAGGGTTTAGGGTTTGGGGTTTGGGGCTTAGGGTTTAGGGTTTAGGGTTTGGGGTTTAGGGTTTATGGTTTAGGGTTTGGGGTTTAGGGTTTAGGGTTTAGGGTTTAGGGTTTAGGGTTTAGGGTTTGGGGTTCTGGGGTTCTGGGGTTCTAGGGTTCTAGGGTTGGGTTCTCGGATTCTCGGGTCTAAGTAGGGTTCAGCGTTGAGGGTTGAGGGTCCAGGGTTCAGATTGTTAGGGTTCCGGGTTTAGGTGCGAGTGACCTCATAGCTCGGACGTCCACACGCTCAGCCCTCATGCCGGAACACTAAACCCCAAACACAAAGCCTAAACCCTAAACCCCAAACCCAAGCATGAAACCTTCAGCTCTAGACATTGCGCCGACCTGCGGTGATGCCAGCCTTCAGAAGCCCAGCTTCGCTGGGGTTTTGGGGCTAGGGTTTAGCGTTTGGGATGGTTTAGGGTACAGGGTTTAGGGTTTAGGGTTTAGGGTCTAGGGTTTAGGGTTTTAGGGATGACTGTAGGGATACTTGGGGGCGGGGGGGGCCTATGAACACTGGCATCCTGACACCTATAGCTTCTTTCAGGACCATGGTGGAGGTCTTGTCATTCTCGAATACCCTAAACCCCAAATCTTAAAATCTAGGGTTTCAGGGTTTTAGGGCTTTAGGGTTTTAGGGTTTAGGGTTTAGGGTTTAGGGTTTTAGGGTTTAGGGTTTAGGGTTTCGGCTTAGGGTTTAGGGTTTAGGGTTTGGGATTTAGGGTTTACGGTTTGGGGTGCACACCTGGGCTACCGGGCAAGTCTTGCGATGGGCGCGCCTTGCCGGCCTTTCGAAGTGTTGCGTAGGGCTTTAAGGGGTTTGGAGTTTAGGGCTTTAGGGTTTAGGGTTTGGCAGGAGGAGTTTCGGGTAGCCCACAGGAAGGAAAGTAGATCGTAGAGCATGGGGCACGCCTTTTAGGGCTTCTGGACTTCATGACGTACATCGCAGGATGTGAACAGTGCTCCAGATGACGGTGCCTTTCAGGGTTTCTAGTACCATACGGAGCTGGAGGGCGGGTAAGCGACCTGGGTCGACTTGCGCCATAGAGGTCGACTTGAGTCTAAGTTAAGGGGCTTACGGGTTAAGGGCTTGATGCTGAAGGCTTTGGTTGCACGATTGCCCATTCCAAAGCCGGGTCCCCAGAAAGCGGGCACGCCAAGGAGTCGGCTTTGGAGAAGTCGGCTCTAAGGTTGAGGGTTTAGTGTTAGGGTCAAGCACCCTACATCCTAAACCCTCAACCCTAAAACCCATAAACCCTAAATCCCGAACTCCAAAACCCTCAACCCGAGAACCCTAAAACCCTTAGACCCCACATTGCGGGGTTTAGGGGATCTAGGGTTTTGGGCATCAGAACATTTTAAACAAGGTAAGGGACCACGTTCAGGTAAGAAGACAAGCACCACATTCAAGGACCGGGTAACTCCTCTTCGAAATCCCTAAATTTTGCCCTACACCCTAAACCCTAAACCCTAAACCCTAAACCCTAAACCCTAAACCCTAAACCCTAAACCCTAAACCCTAAACCCTAAACCCTAAACCCTAAACCCTAAACCTAAACCCTAAACCTAAACCCTAAACCCTAAACCCTAAACCCGAGACCCCAAGCCCCACATCCTGGCAGTAGCGGGCCTTGCCCGCAGCTTTCTGGATCCACCCCGGCCAAGCCCTGGGGACCTGAAGCTCTGCAGTTAAACCCGAAACCCGAAACCCGAAACCCGAAACCCGAAACCCTAAACCCTAAACCCTAAACCCTAAACCCTAAACCCTAAGCCCTACCCGAATGAGGGCGTCCAGCGTTAAGGATTTTATTTAAGGGCTTAAGGTTTCGGGACTCAGGGTGTTGTTTGAGGTTTCTTGGGGGACATTGGTGTGGGTTTAGGCTTTCGGCTTTAGGCTTTAGGCTTTAGGCTTTAGGCTTTAGGCTTTCGGGTTTAGGGTTAAGGGCTCAGGATTTAGGATTTAGGGTTTAGGGTTAAGGGCTCAGGATTTGGGGTTTAGGGTTCAGGGTTCAGGGTTCAGGGTTTAGGGTTTAGGGTTTAGGGTTTAGGGTTTAGGGTTTAGGGTTTAGGGTATAGGGTTTAGGGGCACTTGGGAAGTATTCAAACAAGCCCCGCGCAGGCGCCTCTTCGATGCAGCGCTGGTGGAGCCGGTTGTACATGTCCTTTTGCTGCTCCGGCAGAGCATCCTCCCGGTACGGTTTAGGGTTTAGGGTTTAGTGTTTAGGGTTTAGGGTTTAGGCTTTAGGGTTTAGGGTTTAGGGTGTAGGGTTTAGGGTTTAGGGTTTAGGGTTTAGGGTTTAGGGTTTAGGGTTTAGGGTTGAGGGTTGAGGGTTGAGGGTTGAGGGTTGAGGCCCAGTGCGGCCAGGAGATGAACAGGCTTAAGATTCTACTATATGGGGGTTTACGAAAATAGGGGGGCCCTGAAGTAGACCCCCAACTAGTAGTATTCCCCTTTTGAGAAGGACTCCGAATAAAGGTACCCTGATATCTTAACCCCTATATTGCTTTGGGATGTGGGTGCAGGGGTTATGCAAAAGATGACACGAGCGGGACGGCAGAGACTTCGCTTCTCGAACCCTAAGCCCTAAGCCCCAAGCCCTAAGCCCTAAGCCGTAAGCCCTAAGCCCTAAGCCCTAAGCCCTCTAAGCCCTAAGCCCTAAGCCCTAAGCCCTAAGCCCTAAGCCCTAAGCCCTAAGCCCTAAGCCCTAAGCCCTAAGAAGCCCTAAGCCCTAAGCCCTAAGCCCTAAGCCCTAAGCCCTAAGCCCTAAGCCCTAAGCCCTAAGCCCTAAGCCCTAAGCCCTAAGCCCTAAGCCCTAAACCTAAACCCTGAACCCCAAACCCTAAACCCTAAACCCTGAACCCTAAACCCTAAACCCTAAACCCTAAACCCTGCAGCAAGGCCCAGTCCCGGCGCACGAGGACGGAGATAAGGCCCCCGCACAGGGGCCTGGAGAGCTGAATCTTCGCAGGAGGTTTGGGGTTTAGGGTTTAAGGTTTAGGGTTTAGGGTTCAGGGTTTAGGGTTTAGGGTTTAGGGTTTAGTGTTGAGGGTTTGGGGTTTAGGGTTTAGGGCTTAGGGTTTAGGGTTTAGGGTTTAGGGTTTAGGACTGAGACCCTATGTTGCTGTTTGCAGACCTCGTCTCCTGATTCTGCCGCAAGGGTGCAGTGTAGGGTTTAGGGTGTCGGGTCTACGGTTGAAGGTCTAGGGCTTGAGGTTTGCAATTTCGAGAACCCTAAAAACCCTCAGGCCCTATGCCCCCAAACCCTCCAACCCCCAAACCCACTCACACACCGAAGACTTACAAAAGATGGCGAAATCTGAAACCCGAACCAAGACGTCTAAACCCCAAAAACCCTGGACCCTATATGCAGCAGCAGTCACGGTCTCCCCCCACCCCCACCCCGTGGCGGGTTTAGGGTTTAGTTTCCTCTCTTTGCGCGTGGTTCGTGATGGGTTTAGCGTTCAGAGTCCGAGGGTTAAGGTTTCGGGTGTGCTCTTGCCTCGCCCCCTGTGGTTCGCGGTGGGTTTAGGATTAACGGTCAGTGTCCGGGGGGGGGAGGGTGGGGGCGAGAACGCCGAGCACGGATGCACGTGAACCCAAGAGGGCTTCGGGTTTTGGGCTTTGGACCTTCAACCCTAAACTCTAAACCCTAAACCCTACACCCTAAACCCTAAACTGCAAACCCCTACCAACTCAGGTGCTCACTCGCCGTGCTCCGCGTCTCCTCTCGACTTGTCGCCTACCTCCTCCAGGCAGGGTTAGGGTTTAGGGTTTAGGGCTTAGGGTTTAGGGTTTAGGGTTTAGGGTTTAGGGTTTAGGGTTTAGGGTTTGGGGTTTAGGGTTTAGGGTTTAGGGTTTAGGGTTTAGGGCTTAGGGCTTAGGGTTTAGGCGCTGGGGGGTTTAGGGCTTTTGGGGGGTTTATGGTTTTTGGGGTTTTGGGGTTCTGAGGTCTTGGGGTTTGGGGATTATGAGATTTTGGGGCTTTTGGCTGTAGGGTTTGGGGGTTTTGGGGTTCAGAGGACAAGTCATACATTCAAGTATGCAGAGCAGACATTTGAGCTGGCAGCAGCGCGACTCGGTTCTAGCCACTAAAAACCTAAACCCTGTGAACGTTAACTCAACCCGGTATGCCCTGGAAAACCGCGGCAGGATGGGGTTTCCCCAAAAGCCTAAACCCTGCGCCCCAAAACCCTACAATTTTTTTGAGGGTGTGTCACTCACGGCCCAACCCACTACTAGTACTACTACTACTACTACTACTACTACTACTACTACTACTACTACTACTACTACTACTACTACTACTACTACTACTACTACTACTACTACTACTACTACTACTACTACTACTACTACTACTACTACTACTACTACTACTACTACTACTACTACTACTACTACTACTACTACTACTACTACTACTACTACCACCAGGCGGCGGAGCTCTGTGGTGTTTCGGGTTTAGCGCTAAGGGTTTGGTGGACAGCTTACTGGTTGCTGTATTTAGGGTTTCTGTGTGTAGGCTCCCCAAACCCTAAAGCCTAAAGCCTACACCCTAAACCCTAAACCCTAAACCCTAAACCCTAAACCCTAAACCCTACAGAAGTCAGGGTTGAGACTCAGGGCTTCTAGGTCTCCAGTCACCCTCCTGCCGGTGCGCGTGCAGGGCGTCGCAGAAGGCGAGGAACTCCTCCTGGCTTTTTGGGTCCAGGGTTTAGGCTTTAGGGCCTAGGGCCTAGGGTTTAGGGTTTCGGGTTTAGGACTTAGGGTTTAGGGTTTAGGGTTTAGGGTTTAGGCTTTAGGGTTTGGGCTTTAGGCTTTAGGCTTTAGGCTTTAGGGTCTAGGGCCTTGGGTTTAGAGGCTGGGCTTTAGAGTGCAGGGGCTTAGGAATGAGGGAGTTAGGTGCTCTCTCTAATCCTTTAGGGCTTTGGGGATATAAGGTACCCTACTCTAACCTGTAATTTAGATTTTAAGGTTCTAGGGTTTGGGGGAGTTTGTCCCCTGCGCCAAACCCTCAACCCGACCCTGGCACCTTCGCCCTACAACAACCCCAAACCCCTGAACCCCATACTCAAAAACTCTAAACCCATAAACCCGAAAACAGGCCTAACCCTAAAATTCAAAACCCTCAAACCCTCAAACCCTAAAGCCTAAACCCTCAAACCCAAACCCGAAACCCCTTAAAAACCACCTACAGCCTGGCTAAGGTTTGAGGGGTGTCGGGTTTTACGGGCGGGGTCAGGGTTGAGGGCTTCGGGTTTTAGGGGCTTTCGGCGGAGGGCCTTGGGGGGTTTAGCGTTGTGAGGGGGTTTGAGGGATTAGGGTTCTTGAGTCGAAGGTTTTGGGGGTTGAGGGTTGAAGGGTTTTGGATTTAGAGCTTAGGGTCTTGGGGCCTTAGACTGAGGCATTGCTAAAGGTTTGGGGTTTGGGGTTTAGGGTTTAGGGTTTAGGGTTTAGGGTCTAGGGTTCAGGGTTTGGGGTGTAGGGGCCCGAGGGGTGGTCAAGAAGAACCCAAACACACTCCTCGATGGTGAAGGCGTGGACGAAGCCCGTGGGGTCCTGCCATGCCTACTTATCCTAAACCCTAAACCCTAAACCCTAAATCCTAAACCCTAAACCCTAAACCCTAAATCCTAAACCCTCAGCAGTAACTGCGAGATCTCCGAGTGAGGTTGAGGGCGCTTCACCTAAGATGCAAAAGCGGCGGGGTAGCAGGGTGCACGGTTCAAAGCTCCACGCCTTGAAACCTTAGGGCTGCAGCGTTTCGGGCTTCTGGCACCCTAAACCCCTCAGCCCCTAAACCCCCAAAACCCCCAAACCCGAAACCCTAAACCCTAAACCCTAAACCCCTAAACCCTAAACCCTAAACCCCTAAACCCCCAAACCCTAAACCCTAAACCCTAAACCCCCAAACCCCCAAACCCGAAAGCATCCCCCAAGCTCCCCCGCAGCTTTCGGCCTGGTGCTCCGAAGGAGCACAGGGCACCGCGGGAACGGGAGCCTCATCTGGAGCCTTCAAGGGTTTAGGGTGTAGGGTTTAGGGTTTAGGGTTCAGGGTTTAGGGATTAGGGTTTAGGGTTTAGGGTTCAGGGCTTAGGGCTTAGGGCTTTGGGTTTAGGGTTTAGGGTTGAGGGTTGAGGGTTTAGGGTTGTTCCCCCTTATACTACGGGTCCTTAGTAGGGATTCTAGTACCCCTGGTGATCATCCCTATGAAGGGCTGTTCGTACAAGGGGGAACATCCCAAGTTTAGGGTCTGTAGGGTTTAGGGTTTAGGGTTTAGGGTTTAGGGTTTAGGGTTTAGGGTTTAGGGTTTAGGGTTTAGGGTTTAGGGTTTAGGGTTTAGGGTTTGGGGTTTGGGGTTTAGGGTTTAGGGTTAAATAGATGAAGCATTTGGGGCTGAGGGTTAAGGGTCTGCGGCTAGAGCTGAGTGATGTTTACTTTGGGTTGAGGGTTGAATACCGTTTGCTTCAGACCCCCCCCCAACAAAACTTTAAAAAATATTTAAAAGAAATGTGTATATTTTTTTATATATATTTCCTTATCAGGGCAATGCCGGGCTTGTTATGGTCTATTTTCTAGTACTTGAGAGCTGAGAGATGTAGGGACTCAGCGTTCTTGGGTCTTTGAGGCCCGGGGTTTGAGGGCTTTTTGTTTAACCGGGTGGGGGGGGGGGGGGCGGGGGGTGCCCGGTGCCGAGATTACATGGATGTTTGGCCTACACCCCTAAACCCTAAGCCCTAAACCCTTAGCAACGCCTCAGTCCAAGGCCCGAAAACCCTAAGCCCGAAGTCCAAAGTCCTTAAACCACAAACCCCTGAACCCAGAGCTTAGGGCAACCCGAAAACCCTAAGCCCTAAGTCCAAAATCCTTAAACCATAAACCCCTGAACCCAGAGTTTAGGGTAAACCCTACATGCCCACCCAAGAAGCCTCAAGGCTTGAGGCCTTCCGGGATGCCCAGAACCCCACTTCGTCTGGACTTCTTCCTAACCCTAAACCCTAAACCCTAAACCCTAAACCCTAAACCCTACACCCTACACCCTAAACCCTAAACCCTAAAGCCTAAACCCTAAACGGGGGGAGGGCAACCCTGGTGGTGGGGGGGCAACCCTGGCGGGGGGGCAACCCTGGCGGGCGGGGGGGCAACCCTGGCGGGGGGGGCACCCTGGTGGGGGGGCAACCCTGGCGCGGGGGCAACCCTGGCCAGGGCAACCCTGGCGGGGGCAACCCTGGCGGAGGCAAATGTGGTGGCGGGGGCAACCCTGACTTCGGGGCAACCCTGGCGGGGGCAACCCTGGCAGGCGGGGGCAACCCTGGCGGGGGCACCGGGGCAACGGGGGCAACCCTGACTTCGGGGGCAACCCTGGCGGAAACAACCCTGCGGGGGCAACCCTGCCCTGGCGGGGGCAACCCTGGCGGGGGCAACCCTGGCGGGGGCAACCCTGGCGGGGGCAACCCTGGCGGGGGCAACCCTGGCGGGGGCAACCCTGGCGGGGGCAAAGTGAGGTATAGACGTATGTGTTTTTTTTTATACATATACGTCTGGAGTTTCAAAGGAGCTGGCGGGGGCCACTAATGGAGAACTTTGGCAGGGCCCTTCATAGAGAAGCCTCAATAGGCAAGGCCAATTCCCAACCCACGTAGGCTGGCGGCGCCCTGGCGGGGGCAACCCTGGCGGGGGCAACCGTCAGGGGGGAAATCTGGGGCAACCCTGGTGGTGGGGGCCATTTGGGGGAACCCTGACGGGCTGACAGGAAACAACCTGGCGGGGGCAACCCTATTCTGGCGGGGGCAACCCTGGCGGGGGCAAGCCTGCGGTAGGGGGCGCAACGGCTTCTTAGGCCCGACCTCCCCCGCCGGGGTCGCGCGTCGGGGGTTTAGGGTTAATCCATTATTACATTGTGCCCTATGGCTAGCAGGGATGCATCAGGTGTGGCAAGCTCGATCTGCTTGGCAAAGCAAGCAGATCTCGAAGCGGTAGCGTTCAGTTGTACCGGCCGCCGCCTGGCGCGGGCGCCCCCCCCCCCCCCCCATGAAGAAATTGCGCGATCGGGCAAATGGATGAGGCGTCGGCGTCGCCCTACTAATTCAAAGATTAGGGTTTAGGGTTTAGGGTTTAGGGTTTAGGGTTTAGGGTTTAGGGTTTAGGGTTTAGGGTTTAGGGTTTAGGGTTTAGGGTTTAGGGTTTAGGGTTTAGGGTTTAGGGTTTAGGACAATTCCGGAAGACAGGTGGGCTTCAGAAATAGGAAGCCCAGCACGCCCTCGCCCATACTTAGAGGTTTCGTATCCAACGCTATAAGTGTACCCAAATTCCCACACTCCCTGCCAAGAGCAAACCCTAAACCCTAAACCCTAAACCCTAAACCCTAAACCCTTTTTTGCCAGATGAAGTTGAATAGAACCAGTAGGATGAGCTCCCAACTAGCGGAGCGCTCCGCCAGGGAATCTTCCGCAGAGAGTTCCACGCCTCCTCATCGTCGGAGGCTTCCAGGGCTTAAGAACTTCGCATGGTTGGTCCTAGGGGTGGGCTTCGGGCTTGGGGTTTAGGGTTTAGGGTTTAGGGTTTCGGGTGTAGGGTTTAGGGTTAAGAGTTGGGGGTTCGGGTTTAGGGCATAGGGTTTAGGGCATAGGGTTTAGGGGCTTAGGGCTTAGGGTCTTGGAAGGCTTACAGGGCTCACTTCTGGTTCTAGGTTGGCTCGTTAAAGACCTCTGAAAAATATGTGCGACAAATCCTCGTCCATATGGAAGGTGCCCGTGGTGGAAATCGTCAGAGCTGTGCTGAAAGCCTTGTGAAAGGATGCCTGTCCGAAGCAACCACCAAGTTCCCATCCGTGCCCTTGACCTTCAAGACGGTTCGCGGAACGAACCTGCCTCCACCTTTCAATCCAAGCTGGAGATAGATAATCTGGTCTTGCTTCAAGTAGGAGAACAGCATGTCGTAGTGCGCCAATGAGGGCCGGGCCTGCCTTCGTCTGTCCCCCAAAGGGCCTACCCAAAGCCGTAAGGCTTAGGGCGGGAGTTGTTCGTTGCCAGGGATACGATCTGCTCTTCTAGCATCCTAGTCCATAACCATATCATGATGAGGGTGCCCTCCTTGGGGGGGTTCCTTGGGGGTTAGCTACTTTATAAGGCAACCATGAGCCCAAAAAAAAGCGAACGGATACCTGAATCATACGGGCGTAAAAACTAAGCCCTAAATCCTGAACCCTAAACGAACCCTAGAGCCTAAACCCTAAACCCTGAACCCTAAACCCGGAACCCCAAACCCCAAACCCCAAAACCCTAAACCCTAAACCCTAGACCCTCAACCCTAAACCCTAAACCCTAAACCCCATACCCTAAACCCTAAACCCTAAACCCTGAATCCCAGCTCCAACAAAGGCAGGGGCGGTACGCCCCCTCAGGGCATCCTGGCGCCCCCAAGAGACGGGGTCGGGCTGAGTGGTTCCCGAGCTGCTCAGTAGCGGGAATTTGGGATGTAGGGTTTAGGGTTTAGGGTTTAGGGTTTAGGGTTTAGGGTTAAGGGTTAAGGGTTAAGGGTTTAGGGTTTAGGGTTTAGGGTTTAGGGTTTAGGGTTTAGGGTTTAGGGTTTAGGGTTTAGGGTTTAGGGTTTAGGTTAGGGTTTAGGGTTTAGGGTTTAGGGTTTAGGGTTTAGGGTTTAGGGTTTAGGGTTTAGGGTTTAGGGTTTAGGGTTTAGGGTTTAGGGTTTAGGGTTTAGGGTTTAGGGTTTAGGGTTTAGGGTTTAGGGTTTAGGGTTTAGGCACCCTAGATCCCCGTTTTCTCCTCCCAAAACAAGCTGCCCAATTTGGGGTTTAAGGTTTCGGGTTTAGGGATTAGGGTTTACAGTACGCAGTCCGCCTACACCCAAAACCTCGAAACTCTACCCAAAATCGGTAGGCCTCGCCATCAGCAAATCGCAGAAGATACTTGCTCCTTGACAGGGTTCGGGTTTGGAGTCTAGGGTTTGGGGTTTGGGGTTTAAGGTGTAGTGGTTACCCTAAACCCTAATCCCTAAACCCTAAACCCTAAACCGCCTAAACCCTAAACCCTAAACCCTAACGGGGATATGTAGACGGGGTTCACGGTGCAAGCCACTCACCTGAGGCTGTGGCCAAACTTGTGAGACAAACCGACGCTTAAGCGCCCAAGCTAGGAAACGACCCGCGAGACGCGAAAGTTTTCGGTTTAGGGCTTAGGGCTTAGGGCTTGGGGCTTAGGGCTCAGGGCCAAGGGCTTAGGGATTCGAGCTTCGGGCGCGCCAGAACTCGGCCGGCAGGCCCCTTGCCAACCAGGCCCAAGATCCACCTAGAAATAGAAAGGGTGCCCTTCTGAGGGGGTTTAGGGTTTAGGGTTTAGGGTTTAGGGTTTAGGGTTTAGGGTTTAGGGTTTAGGGTTTAGGGTTTAGGGTTTAGGGTTTAGGGTTTAGGGTTTACGGTTTAGGGTTTAGGGTTTAGGGTTTAGGGTTTCGGTAAACCCTAAACCCTAAAACCCTAGACCCTACCAAACCCGAGCGGCCTTTGCAAGTCCACAGCGGCGACCAAGACCTTGAACCAAATCCTTGGAGAAGGGCAGGCGGGAGGAGGAGAGGGGGGGTGGTGTTAGGGTGTAGGGTTTCAGGGCTTCTCAGGGTTTAGGATCAAGTGCAGCTGGGGGGAACGGATTCGGAGCATTCGGGTTTCCAGTATTGGGGGTTGCGCTCGGAGAGATGCGGTCGGGAAGTCACAAGAGAAGGAAGATGAGGCGCAGCAGCTACCCAGACCCCCCTGAAAAGGGTCCAAAAAGTAGAGCCCCCCCAACTAGCACCCTATGCTACTGCAGTGTTGGGTCATTCTTGGGAACCCGAAACCCTAAACCCCGTACTACTAGTGGGGTCATTCCTTAGGAGCCCTTACCCTAAACCCTAAACCCTAAACCCTAAACCCCCTTTAAGGAACTACTTTTCGGATCCTCCAAAAGATCTGGGTATTTGTTCCCGAACCACCGTGCACTTCATGCTGGGTCCGGCTCGGGGTTCAGGGCTTGGGGTGGCTAAGGTTTGGGTCTAGGGTTTTGGGCTTAGGGCTTAGGGTTTAGGGTTTAGGGTTTAGGGTTTAGGGTTTAGGGTATAGGGCTTAGGGTTTAGGGTTTAGGGTTTATGGGTTTAGGGTTTAGGGTTTATGGGTTTAGGGTTCAGGGTTCAGGGTTTAGGGTTTAGGGTTTAGGGTTTAGGGTTTAGGAGGGTTTAGGGTTTAGTGCTTAGGGTTTAGGGCTTGGGGAGACTTTTTGCCCCAGCTCCCTGCCTCTAGTTATGAGGCGCAAGGGCATCATATGCAGGCTCTTGACGTCGAATGCAGCGACATGACATTTGCACGTGCTTAGCATCATGCTTGGTCGCAAAAAAGCAAATGATCTGAATCACCATTAAGGCGACGACGAGAATGAACACCGCCAGCTGCACTGGCGAATAGTGTTCCACCAGGGTAACGAGGGATGCCCAAACCAGGGCTTCGCAAAGGTAGCTGTAAATGTAGGCCAGCAAGCAGCAAAGGAACGTGAAGGCGAGTTGCAGCGGACCTTCGCCACAGGACAGGGTAAACTTAATCATCCGAAGGAGCATCGGGTAGGTCAGAGGCAAAGCTGTCATGATGCAAAGGCACCAGCAAATGGACCTTACTTGTCCACTTCCCCGCAACAAAAGGGTGATCCGTAGGTCTTTAACAACGACTACAATACTGTATGAGGGTTTCCGAAATTTGGGGGTACCTTATTGGGGTCCTTATTATTCCATTTTTGGGGTCCTTTATTTTCGTAAAATTCCCATATGACAGGTCAATGATGACTTACTGGACTGCCGGGGGTCGATACTGCCATGTACTGTGCCACGGACGTCATCCCGGCCAGCCGAGCAGACTGCCCGCACGGTCCGTTGTCACCTTGGATGCTAGACATCGGGGCCTGGGGTAGGTTTGGGAACCCTGCAAAAAATAAATTCTATGGCTGTATAAGGATTATATAGGGGATTAAGGGTAGTGGAAAAGAATTATGTTCTAAATCACGTGCTCAGCTCCCTAAATTACAGTCCCTGCTGGGGTCCTTCGCGTGATCCGTCCCCCTCTCTAAATCTGGCGAGAGAAGCCTTGACCAGAACTTCGGATTCCGGGTTTAAGGTTCCAGAACTCCTCCAATTTCCGAAGCCCAACATTCCAGGGTGTCGGGTTTAGGTTTACGGTTTAGGGTTTAGGGTTTAGGGTTTAGGGTTTAGGGTTTAGGGTTTAGGGTTTAGGGTTTAGGGTTTAGGGTTTAGGGTCTATACCCCCAAAGGTTAAAGGTCACCTACTCAGCTACGAAGCTGTACATCTGCGCGGCCCAGTCGCAGCCCAAGATATCCGCGGAGCCGTAGAAGATCATGGGAAGGCAGGCGGTCAAACAAACTTGATAAGGCACGTGGAGCTCGCTACCGATCTGCTCTATCCTAGGTTGGCCATCTAGGGTTTTGGGTTGAGGGTTGAGGGTTTAGAGTTTAGGGTTTAGGGTTTGGGGTTTAGGGCTTGGGGTTTGGGGCTTGGGGTTTGGGGTTTGGGGTTTAGGGGCTTAAAACCCTCTGAGGAGTGCTCTTGAATATGACCCTCTTAAGCTGAATAGGGGAAACGATGAAAATTATCCCAAGGGCCGACCCAGTCTCACAAAGTCACGCAGAGTCCCGCGGACGTAGTCGTTAAAGTAGTCCAAAGGATCACCGGCCCTTCGTCCCAAGGGGTGAAACTTTTGAATGCGGACCTCTCCGCCATCAACATCACCGACCGGGTGCGCATCCACCCGGCCGTGCTCCCAAAATAGCTCCGCGACTTGCTGCTCAATTGCCTAGACCCAGGAGTATCCTAGGAACAACCAGGAGTAACTTAGGAACGGCTACTTAAGTGTAAAGGGACTATAGATTAAGGGTCCCTTCTAGGGGTCCCTCTGTTTTCCCCTTAAAAGGTCTAGACCCAGGAGTAGCCTAGGAACAAAAAGGATACCCTCTTTGGGTTGAAGGGGATGCTCGGGGAACCTCAGCTTTGAGGGACTTCTCCGGGTCCCAGTTGCTTTGCGGTCGGCAGGTACGGTGCATCTGGCGGCTCGGATGTCGAAACTGGCCATCTGGTCCAACATGAGCTGGTGGCTCTGGAACTTCGTGCGGAACGCGAAGAAGCTGGGCACAGCTGCCGGCAGATAGAAGATGCCGACCATCATCCCTAAGATGAGCCATGTTACGAAAGTTTCCGCGGCTGGGTTCCAGGCGAGGGCGTTCTCTGTCATGCCCACGATGCTTCTCAGCCACGCTAGCCAACTCGGAAACACAGACCCTGACAGCATCAAGGCACTGGCACCAAGGAGATCCGCCAGGATCGAGCTTAGCCTAGGATGGAGCTTGCGACCCTTTGAAACATCTTCGCGAGATCCTCATTCAACCCTGAGCCCAAAGCATCCCAGAAGCCCTACTTAGGGGTTTAGGGGGTTTAGGGTTTAGGGTTTAGGGTTTAGGGTTTAGGGTTTAGGGTTTAGGGTTTAGGGTTTAGGGTTTAGCGTTTAGGGTTTAGGGTTTAGGGTTTAGGGTTTAGGGTTTAGGGCTCTCAGAACCACAAAAACAACAAGCACAAACTGCCCCACAAAACCCCGCCCAGTAGCAACCACGGCGCCAGCCACAGGGGCATCACATCTAGATTCTCCTTGGGCTGACTTCGAAAAGCCTCCTAAAAGCTTAACTTTTCAAGCCCTAAACCCTAAACCCTAAACCCTAAACCCTAAACCCTAAACACAAAACCCAAAACCCCAAACCCTCAATCTGGTTTAAACCTTAAACCCTAAACCCTAAACCCTAAACCCTAAACCGCCAAGAAGAAAGCCAAGTCTCCGTGCCGCGCTGCTTTGCAAAGGTGGCGAGCTCCAGGTTGCCTCGGGCCGCTCTTTTTGGGTGGGGGGGTGGGTGCTTAGGCGGTTTAGGGTTTAGGGTTTAGGGTTTAGGGTTTAGGGTTTAGGGTTTAGGGTTTAGGGTTTAGGGTTTAGGGTTTAGGGTTTAGGGTTTAGGGTTTAGGGTTTAGGGTTTAGGGTTTAGGGTTTAGGGTTTAGGGTTTAGGGTTTAGGGTTTAGGGTTTAGGGTTTAGGGTTTAGGGTTTAGGGTTTAGGGTTTAGGGTTTAGGGTTTAGGGTTTAGGGTTTAGGGTTTAGGGTTTAGGGTTTAGGGTTTAGGGTTTAGGGTGTGGGGTAAACCCCCTCTTCCCCGAGAGCGCGATCACCCTGTAGGTGTAGGACTGAGGGTTTAGGATTTAGCGTCTTGGGTTTTCGAGCTGAGGCTCAGTTGGGGAGGGGGAGGGAGCGGGAGGGGGGGTGGTGAGCCTCTTGGGTTTGCCTGCCTCGGAGTAGATGAAACTTTGGGAGTTGAGACGTCTAGATGCAGCGCATGCAAACGAATGCAAAGCTTTCCTACTCAGCTACCCAGTTTCACCACAACCGCTCGAAGTACGTGTCGTCCCAAAGCATGAGCATACGCTCGGAGCGCATGAGGAAGATGGGAAGGGCTTCCAGCTGTTCGGCCTTCTTGTCCACGTCCGTTTGGTGAACGCAAAGCTTGTCCATCCACAAGGAGGCCGACTTAAACCCACACGTTCCAGCAAAAAGCTGCTGCCCCTGGAACAGGACGAGAAAAAAGACTGCCATTGGCAGGCAAACAAGGCATGGAAAGGCAAGGTAGCTGCCACCCAGGCTTGTAAACCCTCCGCATCCAAGCAGAAGCAGTGCAATGAGGAGCCAGGTCCCAAAGGAAGAGCCCACCGCCATCCCCAAGTTAAAGTAGAGGCCTTAGCTGCTGAGTTCATAAGCCCCCCCAAAAGTGTACACTTTCAGTTCTATAGGGGATTAGCCCTAAACCCCAAACCCCAAACCCCAAACCCCAAACCTTAAACCCTAAACCCTAAACCCTACTCATTCAGCTACAAAGAAGCAGAGAGCCAGGAATTTAAGCCATCGCCCGGCATGCCAAGAGTGGCTAATGAACACGTCCACGCGATCTGTCTCCTCAGCTGTCCTGGGTTTGGGGGTTTGGGGTTTGGGGTTTAGGGTTTAGGGTTTAGGGTTTAGGGATTAGGGATTAGGGATTAGGGTTTAGGGTTTAGGGTTCAGCGTTTGGGGTTTGGGGTTTGGGGTTTGGGGTTTGGGGTTTAGGGTTTACTGTTCAGGGTTAAGGGTTCAGATGTCCTGAAGAGCGTTTCGCCCGCGAGCTGCACCTGCTCTCGGGTCGGAAAGCGGCTTGTTGCATTCCCGCCGGCCAAGAGGAGCGTGGCGAGGTCCTCGTTGAAGATCATCCCACAGCCTAGGCGCCCCAAACCCTAAACCCTAAACCCTAAACCCTAAACCTTAAACCCTAAACCCTAAACCCTAAACCCCTAAACCCTAAACCCCTAAACCCTAAACCCTAAACCCTAAACCCTAAACCCCTAAACCCTAAACCCTAAACCCTAAACCCTAAACCTAGGCGCGCTCCCTTGAAGCTCAGGCTCCTTGGCCTACCCGAAGCCTAAGGCCCCTAAGCCAAACACCCCTGATCCCCAACGTAGCTTCGCTCAGAATTTGGGGTTCACCCTAAACTCCTAAAAGCCCTAAAAGTCCTAAAACCCTAAACCCTAAACCCTAAACCCTAAACTCCTAAAAGCCCTAAAAGTCCTAAAACCCCTAAAACCCCCCCCCCAAAAAACCCCCTCAGCCGCCCAAACCCCTCTTAGCCCCAAAGCCCCTCAAAACCCTCAACCCCCTAAACCCTTTTTGGAGCTCCCCAACCTTGCAGGACTTGCCAAGCAGAGATCCGACGAAAGAGACCGCGGCAAGGCACGAGCTCGGCGGCTCTTTGCCGACGGCCGCTGCAGCCATCGTCCGCATCCGACATCTGAAGCAAAAAAGTACAGGTGGGCTTCCCGGCGACTCCAATACCCCTTTTACTTAAGGAAGACTCCTTGAAGTATAGGAGGGTTCCTTACATGGCTTAAGGAATACACTCCTTAAAGTATAGGAGGGTTCCTTAGATGGTTTAAGGAATCTTCCTTAACTAAGGGGTATGGGAGTCTCTGGGCTTTGTCCACTCAGGCTCCACCTATTTGAGAACCCAAAGAGCCCAATATAGCTTAATTGAGGAATATATCTTAAATCATAAAGGAATATACCTTAAATCAGATTAAGAAATATACCTTAAATCATATTAAGGATCCCTAAAAAACGTTAAGGAATATTCCTAAGCAATTATTGGGCTCTTTGGGAATTGCAGGAAGAGGACATCTTGAGCCCGCAAGGCTCCGGAGCGTCTCGCCACATCAGTGAACAAGGTCTCTCTTTCGAACTTTTAATAAACGTACAATTGAGGGTGTTGAGGGTCTAGGGTCTAAAAATTAAAATGTAGGGGTTAGGGTTTAGGGTTTAGGGCTTATGGTGTAGAGCTTAGGGTTAGCCCACAACCCAAACCTTCCTGGTTCTTGGTGAGGAATAAGGGATTCAGTTGCTTTCAGCATCCCCTACATGGGTCACTTCTCAAAATGATGGTCCCCTGTTGGGGTACCGTACATATTCGGGGATCCCCAAAAGGGACCATCATTTCAAGCATCCCCCTAAACAGTTCTACCCTCTACTTCCCTCATACCCCTAAACCCTAAACCCTAAACCCTCTACTTCCCTCATATCCTTGTAAGAGCCAGTACGAAGCCCCAAGCCGCTCTCAAACCGACCCTTGCCTCGCCCCAAAACGCTTTGCTCTCTTTCAGGAAACCCTCAACCCTAAACCCGAAACCCTAAACCCTAAACCCGAAACCCTAAACCCTAGACCCGAAACCCTAAACCCTAAACCCAAAACCCTAAACCCTAAACCCTGACGCCAGGCGTGCGCTCCCGAATGCTGGGCCTCCGAACTTCGAGACTGCTCCGCCGTCGTCGGCCTCCGCGCAGTCCAGTGATCCTAAACCTGAAACACGACAACCCTACTATGGTTTAGGGTTTAGGGTTTAGGGTTTAGGGTTTAGGGTTTAGGGTTTAGGGTTTAGGGTTTGGGTTTAGGGTTTAGGGTTTAGGGTTTCGGGTTTAGGGTTTTGGGTTTAGGGTGTTTGGGGGGCTCGCAAACTCTTAAAACTGTTGCACGGGAAGAGCATGCAACATAAACCCTGAACACTAAAACCCTAAAACCTAAACCCTAAATCCCTAAACCCTAGACCTGCGTTCGAAATGGGGTCTGCTTAGGTTTGAGTGTCAGGACTCCGCGGGAAGACCCTAAAATCAGCTGTTCCGCGAATCCCCAGCCGATAGGCCGTAATAATGAGAACAGGGTTCTAGGGGGGATTCTTTTCGAACACCCTCAACCCTAAACCGTCTAAACCCTAAACCCTAAACCGATTAGTAACTATTCCGACCCCTCTGTTACGGCCGAGCAAGCCGTAGAGTGCCCGAAGCCTTCCCAAGACCCGAAGCCCCGACTCGACCCGTTTAGGGTTTAGGGTTACTTATAACCCCCTTGAGTGCCCTAATAGGGTTGTAATTGGGTTATAAGTACACCTCCAACCACACCCCAAACATTCCTAACTCCTAGACCCTAGACCCTAAACCCTAAACCATAAACCTTAGGGGCACGAGCCTCAAAACCTTGGCCCGAACCCCGAAGTCGACCCCTAGACCCTCAGCATTCCTAACCCCTAGGCCCTAAGCCTCAGTCTTTGTAGGGTTCTTAAGGGAGGGGTCTGGGGTTCAGGGTTCAGGGTTTAGGGTTTAGGGTTTAGGGTTTAGGGTTTAGGGTTTAGGGATTAGGGCTCCCTAAACCTCAGTTTGTTTTTTAGCGTCGAGGCTGCATGCCAAGCCCGCATCTCTCTTGAACACTTGGAGCAAGGAGTCTCGAACACCCTTTTGAGCAAGGAGTCACAGCTGAACCGCCCAGGAAATGGGGGGGGGAGGGTGTTCTAGGATTTAGGGTGCAGGGATCAATGCTTAGGGGGCCTGTAGTTGGGGGGTTAAGGTTTTGAGTGTTCGGCCTAGGGTTCAGGGCTCAGGGGTTAGGATTTAGGGATCTAGGGTTAAGGAATTCGGGAGCCTTGGCTACAGCGGACTTTGTCCGAATGGGCTTCTGGGTTATGTATTGGTTTAGGGTTCAGGGTTGTTGGGGTTCAGGAGTTGGCCCTAAACCCTAAAACCTAAACCCTGAACCCTGAGGGGCTGAACCCTATAGAAGAGACCCTCCCTCGCGCCTGGCAGGGCCACTCCACATCGATCCTGGGTGAGACTATTGCAGTTGGGCTTTGGGGGTCTAAGTTTAGGGTTTGGGGTTTGGGGTTTAGGGCTGAGGGTTTAGGGTTTAGGGTCGGGATTATACTAACAATCCTTAATGGGGATGATAGTAGGATACCACAATCCCTATTAAGGACTGCTAGTGTGAGGGGGAACATCCGAAACCCGAAACCCTAAGCCCTGAACCCTAAACCCTAAACCCGAGGGTCTAAGGTTCGGTTCAGGATTCCAGGTGCAGCGCTCAGGGTTAGAGGGCCTCCAAAGGGGTCCGGGGGGTCTAACCTTACGGCTTATCATGGTAGCCGCACCGAAACCCTAAAACCCTCAAACCCCTGAAACCCTAAAACCCTAAAGCCCTAAAAACCCTGAACTCCTCAAAACCCGGAAACCCTAAAGCCCTAAAACCCCCAACCCCAAACCCCAAACGACACGGACGCCCCAAACTTCGGCGGGGACGGATCCGCTGTTGGTATTAAGGGTTTGTGCTCACAATCTTTAGGCGCCCAGGATGGGTGAAGGCCGAATCAGGGGAACAGATTCCGAGACCGGAAGGGCCGAATCAGAGACCAGGAGAGGGGAATCCGAGACCAGCAGGGCACCAGACTCAGAGACCAGGCAGCCAGATTCCGAGACCAGACATGGGATTCAGAGACCAGGCTCCCAGATTCCGAGACCAGACACGGGATTCAGAGACCAGGCTCGCCGAATCAGGCACCCGACCGTCTCCAGCCGACCCGACCCACCCCACCGGCCCCTGACCCCTGACCAAGCAACCCACCCGACCAGACCAACCCAACCGGACCCAACCCGCCCGACAGCTCCGACCAAGCCGATCGACCCGACCAACCCAACCAACCCGACCAACCCAACCCAAGCAGCCAGGGACCCTCAGCAGTGGGCGAAGCGACCGCAAGAGTGGACCAATGCATTCAGCCACCATGACGTACCCTCCGTGGCAGAATGCTGTCGGCACGGTCCTGTGGCGTAGAAATAACCCGACCCAAGCAACCCACCCGACCAACCCGACCAACCAACCGGACCCGAGCCACCATGACGTACCCTCGTGGCAGAATGCTGTCGGCACAGTCCTGTGGCGTAGTAATAACCCGACCCGACCCACCCGACCGGCCCCTGACCAAGCAACCCACCCGACCAACCCGACCAACCCAACCGGACCCGGCCCCGACCAATCCGATCGACCCGACCAACCCAACCAACCCGACCAACCCAACCCAAGCAGCCAGGAACCCTCAGCACTGGTCGAAGCGATTCAGCCACCATGACCTACCCTCGTGGCAGAATGCCGTCGGCACGGTCCTGTGGCGCAGTTATAACCCGACCCGACCCACCCGACCGGCCCCGAGCAGCACCGTGGGCCCACCCGACCGACCCGACCGACCCAACCTGAACTGTGACACGACCGAGCCGACCAAGCCGACCGACCCGACCAGACCAATGCAACCGGACCCGACCCACCCGACCACCCCGACCAAGCCGATCGACCCGACCAACCCAGCCAACCCGACCAACCCAATCCAAGCAGCCAGGGACTCTCAGCAGTGGGCGAACCGACCGAACCATGACGTACCCTCGTGGCAGAATGCTGTCGGCCGACCCGACCCACCCGACCGGCCCCTGAGCCCTGACCAAGCAACCCACCCGACCAACCCGACCGACCCGTGACCCGACTCACGACCGAGCATCCGGCCCCAAAGGAGTCTACCTGACCCGACCGCACCCGAGCAACCCCACGACCCGAACAGCACCGTGGGCCCACCCGACCGACCCGACCAACCCAACCCGAACTGTGACACGACCGATCCCCCCCAAGCGGCCCGCTTGTGTTTTTTGCTCGGGCAAGCCTGTTTCAAACGAATCCCTTCCAAACCCATGATGCGGGCATTGTGTTTGCAAATGGGGGGGCTGCGCCCACCCCAACTCCCCCGCTTCTATTTTTTTACTCGGGCAGGCCTGCTTGAAACGAAGCCCTTCTTTTCGTCGGGCAAGCCTGCTTCAAACGAAGCCCTTCCAAACCCGTGACCATGATGCGGGCATTGTGTTTGCAACTGGGGGGGCGCACCCCAACCCCCCCGCTTTTATTTTATACTCGGGCAAGCCTGCTTCAAACGAATCCCTTAGAAACCTGCTGCGCCCCCCCCCCAACCCCCCCACCCCGCTTGTCTTGTTTACTCGGGCAAGCCTGCTTGAAAGGCATCCCTGCCAAACCCATGATGCGAGCATTGTGTTTGCAAATGGGGTGCGCCCCCCCGCCCCCCCCAACCACCCCGCTTTTATTTTGTTACCACTTTTTTTGACTCGGGCAAGCCTGCTTCAAACGAAACGCTTCCAAACCCATGATGCGGGCGTTGCTGCGCCCCCCCCCCCAACCCCCCCGCTTTGATTTTTTACTCGGGCAACCCCCCCCCCCCCCCCCCGCAACCCCCCCCCGCTTTTATTTTGTACCGTTTTTTTACTCGGGCAGGCCTGCTTCAAAAGAATCCGTTCCAAACCCATTTTTTACTCGGGCAAGCCTGCTTCAAACGAATCCCTTGCAAACCCATGACGCGGGCATTGTGTTGGCAAATGGGGGGGGCTGCGCCCCCCCCAACCCCCCCGCTTTTCTTTTTCCTCGGGCAGGCCTGCTTCAAACGAATCCCTTCCAAACCCACGATGCGGGCATTGTCTTGGCAAATGGGGGGGGAATCGCTTCCAAACCCACGATGCGGGCATTGTCTTGGCAAATGGGGGGGGCTGCGCCCCCCCCAACCCCCCCGCTTGTATTTTTTACTCGGGCAAGCCTGCTTCAAACGAATCGCTTCCAAACGGTCAACCCAGTGGTTACAACAATCAACCCTTTGGTTTCCCTTGACGTCCCTCTGGTTTCGGATGCCACCCTGTCCGGTCTCTGATTCGGCCCTGTCCGGTCTCTGATTCGGCCCTGTCTGGTCTCTGATTCGGCCCTGTCTGGTCTCTGATCCTGAGGGGGGTGATTCTGGAATCTGGTCTCGGTTTCTGCCTGTCTGGTCTCTGATTCTGAGCCTGGTCTCTGATTCGGTGTGTCTGGTCTCTGATTCGACCCTCTGGTCTCTGATTCGTATTTTTTCCGCCCAGGATGATTTAGGGTTCTAGGCTTTAGGGCTTAGGGCATTGGAGTTTTGGGTTTAGGGTTTAGGGTTTAGGGGTTAGAGGTTCAGGGGTTAAGGGGTTAAGGGTTCCAGTGCTTTGGGGTTTAGGGAAGGCTTTGGGCAAGCAGCCAGTCCCCTTCTGCAGGGGCGACGACGTCTGCCTGGCAGGCAAGTTGCCCCAAACCCTCAACCCTGAACCCTGAACCCTCAAACCCTGAAGTGAAGTCCATACCCCTAGAAGTCTAGAAGTCATCAGTCTAGGACACCTCGTTTTGGTTCCACGAGAAAGCCCTTGTGAGGGGTACCCCAGGATCCGGTCAAAAGTGGACCCGATTCCAGCTGTAAGTCTGCAAGGAAGTGGATGGCAAAAACGACCCCATAATTTCCGGATTTTGGTTTGTTCAGCCTTTCCCAAACCATTTCTGAGCTATCCTTTTTCACACCATGTCCGCATCTGTTTTTGTCGGGGGTTCATGGCCTTTTGGGGTCTAGGAATTTCGGCTGGGGGTCTTTAGGGCTTTAGGATTTACAGGGCCTGGATTTAGGATTCAGGATGTAGGGTTCAGGGCGGCCCGCAAGGCAGGAAACCTACCCCCAAGCGTTTTCTGCACCTCGCCTTCAACACATACGAAAGCCAGGCAGGGGCTTCCACCCGTGAAGCAAGAGCCCCCCTTGAGGGGGGTTGGGGGGGTGAACCCCAAACCCTAATTGAGAATAGTTCGGGTGGCCGGCGTGGGTTTACAGGCAACGCGAGCGCGCGGCCCGGGCGTTTCGCGCCCGAGCGCGCGACCTCGCATGCACACCCTAAACCCCAAACCCTAAACCCTAAACCCCAAACCCTAAACCCCAAACCCTAAACCCCAAACCCTAGACCCTAAACCCTAAACCCTCCCACAAGCGGGCCGGCGCCGCCATCAGCACTTGCGGGCTGCGCCGCAGACGCGCCAGAGGCCATGCGCAGTAAAGCTCGACCGGGGCTTAGGATCAGGGTTTAAGCGGTTTAAGAGTTTAAGGGTTTAGGGTTTAGAGTTTAGGGTTAGGGGTTTGGGAGCTTAAGGGTTTAGGGGGTTTAGGAGTTTAAGGGTTTAGGGTTTAGGGCTTAGGGGGGTTTAAGAGTTTTAGGGTTTAGGGTTTGGGGTTTGGGGTTTGGGGTTTAGGGTTTGGGGTGTAGGGTTTGGGGTTTGGGGTTTAGGGTTTGGGGTTTAGGGTTTAGGGTTTAGGCTTGAGGGTCTAGGGGTTCAGGTTTAGGCCTTAACCCTTACGTGTCACCAAGCCCATTGGTACAACCTGTTGGGGTCCAAGGCACAGTGGAGTGTCTCGGCTTTCGGGTCTAGTGTTTAGGGTTTAGGGTTTAGGGTTTAGGGTTCAGGGTCTCCGGGGTTTAGCAGTTTAAGGTTTTGGGCCGCTAGGGTTCAGGGTTTAGGGCTTATCAGGGTTCCCCGGGTTTAGGGCTTAGGGCTTAGGGTCTAGGGTTTAGGGTTTAGGGTTTAGGGTTTAGGGCTTAGGGCTTAGGGCTTAGGGCTTAGGGCTTAGGACTCAGTAGAGGTGTCGGTTGTGCATCCTTCGAGGCTAGGTAGCGCATCCTTTGTGATGCCGGTTTGCGTGTGATCCAAGAACCCTAAACCCTAAACCCTAAACCCCAAACCTTAAACCTTAAACCCTAAACCCTAAACCCCAAACCCTAAACCCCAAACCCTAAACCCCAAACCCTAGACCCCAAACCCTAGACCCTAAACTGCGAAGTTGAGAGGCAGCGCTCTAGAGCTGTCTGTGGCTTGGGAGAGGGGGCTTTGGGGTTTAGGGTTTAGGGTTTAGGGTTTAGGGTTTAGGGTTTAGGGTTTAGGGTTTAGGGTTTAGGGTTTAGGGTTGGGCGCTTCGCCGGCAAACCCCAACAAACGATTGGGGAGCGACATGGTTCCTTGAACCGTAGAAGCCCAAACCCTAAACCCTAAACCCTAAACCCTAAACCCTCACACTGACCCCGAAAAAGAGACCCGGCACTCTTCGAAAACCCCCCGGTTCCTTCAAGGGATTCTGGTGCCTCAAAGGGTGCATGAGGCCTCAAGTCTCAACCCTAAACCCTAAACCCTAAACCCTAAACCCTAAACCCTAAACCCTAAACCCTAAACCCTAAACCCTAAACCCTAACTTACACCTTCAGCCCTACACCCGAAATCTGCACCCCAAACCCAAAAACACCAGGACCGGTCCAGACCAACGTCTCGCCACTCTCCGTGAGGCCCTTGATCAACATCCACATCTCCTTCGTGGTTTGGAGTTTGGGGTTTGGAGGGGAGGGGTTTTAGGGGTTTGGGGTTTTAGGGTTTACGGTTTCAGGGTCTGAGGACTTTAGGACTTTAGGGTTTTAGGGTGTTGTTGGGCGGTACAGCCCCAAACCCCCTGTGTCCTTGAACTCCGGTCTTAACCGCACTGACCGCGCCAGGCGCACCAGTCGCACAGTCCTGACCCAGAGACGAATGGTTCTCAGCAGGGAGCTAGGGAATTCCAGGTTTGGAGTTTATGGTTTGGGATTCAGGGTTTAGGGTTTAGGGCTGGGGGGACTGTTAAAGGAGTTTGCGCAGAGACTGGTTGCTTGCTTGCTGGCGCGGCCCCCCCGTTGCCACGGACTGTCAGACCCTCGACCCTGGGTCACTGCGCGTTTCGGGCCCGCCGTTTCGTGTCCGGGGGTGTGCGTTTCAGGTCCGCCGTTCGGCACCTGCAGAATGCGTTTCGGCGCGTACACGGGCGCGTTTCGGCACGCGCGCAGGTGCGTTTCAGGTCCGCCCCGTTAGGGACGTGTCTAACTAAGCCAACCCTAAACCCCAAAAACCCTGCACCCAAAAAACCCTAAACCTGAAAAACCGAAACCCGAAAAGCCCTAAACCCTGAAAACCCTAAACCCTAAAAACTCTAAACCCTAAAAACCCTAGACCCTGAACCCTAAAACCTGAAAACCCTAAGCCCTAAAAACCCTAAACCCTAAAAACCCTAAACCCTAAGAACCCTAAACCCCAAAAACCCTAAAAACCCTAGACCCGAAAACCCTAAACCCTAAAAACCCTAAACCCTAAACACCCTAAACCCTAAAAATCCTAAACCCTAAACCCTAAACCCTAAACACCCTGAACCCTAAAAACCCTGAACCCTAAACACCCTAAACCCTAAAAAACCCCAAAAACCCTACACCCTAAAAACCCTCAACCCTCAAACCCCTAATCGCTGGCAATTCTGAAATGCACCCAGCCAGGCATGGGGCTGAATTTGAACTCCCCCCCGGGGCTGAAATTCGGACTTGAAATGGGGCCTGAAATGCACGCCCCGCGTCTGAAACATACAACGCTCCTCGGCCCTGAAAACCAAACCCTAAACCTCTAAACCCCGAAACCCCTGAACCCCTTAAACCCCTCAATCCCTACACTCCCTGAACCCCCTGAACCCCTGAGCCCCGCATCTTTA